ATTCTTGTAAATTAAGGTTTTTAGCACGTTTAAAGACTAATGATGCAAATACACATTTTGGGAGGGACACCAGGGTAAGGGTCCAAAACTGAGACACAGCCATGTATGCACAGAAGGTTTTATTTTGAAGCTTGCCTACCCAGGAGGAGCTCATTTACAGACGCTGAGGATGCCCAACTGTTAATAAATTTTTTGAAATCTGTTTGCACAAACTTGTGGTTTTCGGTGAATCCTGATCCATCAAGGCAGATCCCTAATGGCCTACAGACCCTTATGTCAGAGGTAATCAAGTATTATTACAAGAGCTGCTGGATGTGGGGCCCCTCCTGTGCACACACATGGGTACATATGGAAGTTATTAACAAGTATCAGTGAAGGATTTTGGGAAATTAACCCCTGGGGCCCCAGAGCACCAACAACAGACAGCTAGTTGGGAGCAGATCAAGAGCAGTTTCCTGCAGGATGCCTGCAGCATGTTGGGACCAAAATCCAGCCCATTCGAAGAAGCCCCTCTCACAAGGACTAAATTTTTAAACTTCTGCTGTTAGGAACAACAGTTGCGGGGGGGGGGAATCTCCAAGGCTGTGTAAGTTTCCTCGACAAACTGAAATGAGTCAGCTGGAGAAATGTGTAACATAATATATAAAAATGCAAACAATTTTCTTCTATTCCCCAAATGGCACTCAAGAGGTTATAAGGAAGTTTGTAATTTCTTTGTAAGTCCCTTTAGAAGCCACCAAAAGAAACATTTGGATACGGGCCACCAGAGCTGCTCCTACATGGCAGAAGGATGAGTTCAGAGGCAGGGTGATTAAAGGGAACATCTCCCTCTCATTAATGAAAGCAGCAGGATGTCATTTGCAGTCACCCCACAGAAGAAAACTCTCACAGTTTTACTTTGCGCATCTTTTTGTCAATAGCTGATAGAAAAAGGTTTCTCTTCCAAGGAGAAAACAAAGGAGGACTGTAAAGCCTACTGCAGCCAATGCACTTTTCACAGTCCTGTTCTTCCCAAATTGGTTTCCTTTCTTGCACCAGCCCTGATCTTCAAAGTAACCTCTCCTTGGGAATAATGAGGATACTCACCCATAATGTGCTGTAAACTTCCATAATATTAACAAAGCTTGGCAGTCATTCTCTGCTTTTCATCCACAGATCTCAAATCAATTCGCTACAGCCCTGCATGGAATCGACTTACTTGTAAGACAGAGATGAGCACTTGCTGTGCAATTAAAAAAAATATAAATGAGCAAAATAAAGTACACTTTATTAAAATCCAAACTATTTCCTCCTCCCTTGGTGTGCTTTTCCGAAGGCACAATCCTAGCAAACAAGGCTCTTCCGCAGCCCCCAGCCATACAACCCAAGATGTTCATTTTTGGCCAAATGAGAACAGTTCACAGCCAGGTCAGAGCAATCCACTTAGAAAGCTCTTCCCTCAGTGAGCTATAACCATGGCCATAAAACAGAAGCATTCCTGTGCTCGGTTGTAAACGTGGAAGAAATTAGCCCACTCCTTCCCCCCGCCCCGGCTGCTGAAGGGAAGGTGGGAAGCAGCCAAGGCACCTTGCTGACAACACTCCCAAGGAAGAAAAGGAGCCGGGTGACAGGCAGGGTGCCTGGGGCAGCAGACCTGGTCCCACCCCTCCCACAGCAGGCAGAGAGGGAGAGCAGCCATGCAGCTGACCCCACCGAGGCAGGGCCTTCACCTGAGAGCCAGGGCACGGTCCAAAACCAAAGGTGCCTGGAACCACCCGAGATGTCCACAGGGGCTGGCAGGGCAGGCATAGAAGCTACAGGAGACTTGCGCTCTGCTGGAACAGTGGCACCCCAAAGAGCACTGAGAGTGAGCAATGGGGTGGTGCCTCAAGACCAGGCCAAATCCATGCCAGGCAGCAGCACTCAAAGTGGGCCTGTGGCCTTAGGAACATCCCATGTAGCACTGGGAAAGGAGGAGGGAAGTGGTTTTCCACCCACCGACATGCCACAGCACTCAGCTGGCGCTGCCACCATCCCAGTCCCTCTCCAAAGGTCTTTGCAAGCACAGCACCTGCAGCAACAGCACCACCACCCCTCTGCCCCACCAGCTCCTCCATGGCCAGTCCCACCTCCCTGCCCTACGAAAACACAGGACCGCAGAGCTGTTCAGGGGAAGGGACCATAAAAGGTCTCCTCTAGTCCAACCTGGGGCTCACACCAGGTTGCTCCAGCCTTGACCCAGCTGGTTCTTGAAAACTTCCAAGTGTGGAGACCACACAGCCTCTCCAGGCAACCTACCTCCCATCCGGCCTACCCTCACAGGGAAAAGGGTCTCCTCATAGCCAGGCTGGACATCTGCTGTGTCTCATTCTTCCACTGTGCACCACTGTGGTGAGCCTGGCTCCTAGATAACCTTCTTGTAAATATAGGCAGGCTGCTGTTAGGTCCCTCCAAAGCTGAATGTCTCCTCTCCAGGCTGAATGAGCCCAGCTCCCTCAGCATCTCCTCACAGGGCAGGTGCTCCAGCCCCCGAGCTTCCTGGGGTCACCCCCACCTCCCAATCTCACTTCCAATTTATTGTGGTTTTGTTGCATCAGGAAGCCCAAAACTGGGTGCAATATTCTAACTGGGGTCTAAGAAGTGGCGAATACACGGAGGTAATCACCCCTCTTGTTTGCTGGCGGTGCTCCTGTTAATGCAGCCCAGCATGCTGCTGGCCTTTGCTGCCAGGCACCCTGCAGGAGGATTCAGCTTTGCCATCTGCCGAGGCCCCTGGTCCTTGCACGGTTACAGTACCTGGACATGGCTGCTTTGGGAGCTGGAGATACCAATAACCCTGAGCAAGAAGCCGGGGGTGTGCACCTGTGTGTGTGTGAGCAGGGGCTACACAGGGCTCTCTCAGGGTGGGTCAAACCCCAGCCCCACTTGTGACACTGCCTGGGGTAACACAGGGCACCCCAGCCCTCAGCCGGGGCACCACAGCCTGACTCAGGCATCTGAGGGCTCCAATTCACCACCTCTAATGGACCCAGCAACGATGACAGATACAATTACCTGCCTAGCTTTTTGCCCTGACCCTGCACGAGATTACAGCTACAGCGACAAGCAACACCATACCCACGTCAGCCGCCACGGTGCACGCAAACCCTGTGATCGTGAACAATCCCAGCTCATGCTTTCGTGCTGGGCTGAACACCGCAGCAGCTGCAGGGCTACCGAGCTGCCCCTGGCCTCCCCGAGACCGAGAGGAGCAGGCAGCAGGGAAGATGGCCACTTCTCTGGCACTTATTCAACTACCTCAGTTCATAAGCCAGTGCCCCCCCCCAGGAGGCCAGGCACTTTGCCATCAGCAGAGCGACAGAACCCTGCATAGAATAATTCAGAGTGTCTAAGGTAGGCTCCTGTGATGAATCACACCCTGCATCTCTCTCCCCACACTGACCACACACTGGCTCCTCAGACAAGATGCCCGAAGCCAAAAGACCAAATTCAGAGTAATCTCTCTCCACGTTCGTCTTTTCCCCCCCTGTACTGGTCTGAAGAGAAAAGTCAGCGTGAGCTCAGCAGGCTGCCCGCCTGGCTGTGGATGCATGACAGCACGCCGAGGGAAGCACCGATGGTGCTTCTCTTTTCTGTCATGAAATGGTTTGGATCTGGTTCAGACATCAAATTTTACAGCATCTGAACACACTGAATTTCTCCTTTCACATAGCTGTTTTCAGTCACTTATTTCAAGGACATCACACCTGCCTGCACCCCTGAAATGAGCCATAACCCTATTTAAGCCAACTCTGTTCCTCTCATTTGTACTTATCCTCACCAGTTCAGAGTTCACGGATGCTGTGCTCTGCTTGAATTACTCATGTTTCTTTCAAAGACTCAGTACAAATTATAAGGTACTAAAAATACTTCTGAAAATCTCACCCCTACATTTTTAGGAAGTATCTTATGTTTAGAAAATTCTTTACTTGACTACACTACAAGATGAATTAAGTTTATTGTTCACAGCTAGGACCATTCATTTATGTCCTGCTTTTGGTCACTGTAAGAAATTCACTCGTTTGGTTTCGGTTGATTGCCATGTCTTGGCACTAAACTAACTAGGTTTCCAACACTGCAAGGAAATGAAAATATCGCCATGCATTCATTGACTTTTAAAAATAAGTATAAAAACATGTTTATTAAAATCTTTAAAAGTCTTATATAAAAAATTCTTGCCTTTTTTGAGGCAAAACCAAAATGTTGTTTTACGTTCTGTAGATGGCAGCAGCATACTATCAGATGAGCATAAGAAAGGGCACTGGATCCTATCTGTTCACACCCTCCCAGGACAGACCTGACTCTCCAGACCAGGACTACCTTCGTAGTAATACCATGCCTTTAGTATAACTTAACTCATCCGCACTCTCAAAAATCTGTTCAAATAAAGCAATGCAAAAGCCAGTGAAGCTGCATGTATCGTACACGGCTGCAATGGTTTCCCTTTAGTGCAAACGTTGGCCTCTGAAGTGGCACGTATCGCATTCGTGCTGCAAGGAGCGAAATGTGCTCTCGCTCCGCCGCGGCTCCAGGGGTGTCTAGTCAGCACAGGGGTTGTGCCCACCAACGCCCGAGCCGCACTGCTGTGGGACTGAATTCAGCCATACCACTTCATGAGGGCAGGTTTGTAGCACAAATGAGCTTAGGCACTTTGAGATAGAGGAAAACACAGGGCTGACCTGGGAGGACAGGCAACTCACCTTCTTTTCAAGCTTATAAATTATAAATGGAGGAAAGAGCAGGACTTGTAGGGGGGTGGAACCTCTGTTCTTCAGATTGGCTTTACCCCAGGCATCTCTGGGGAAGGCCACACATGCTGTGTACATACAAGGACACAGCTGTCACAGCCAGTGGGTTCAAGCCCTGCTCCCCCTGCCCTCCCTTTCCTCTCCAGCAGCCAGTCCAGCCCCACCGGCGTGGCATGCGTGGCACCAGCACAGCCATGTAACAGGCATCTCCCTTTGTCTCCCTCACACACAGCATCATCTCCCAGCCCAGGACAGAGAGGGGCTGGGGATGACACTCACCTCCACCCCTCCCCTTCCACCCGGGGATGAGACCACCTCCTCCCTCAGGCACGTCCCTGAGGAACCCCCCGGCCCTGCTCCATCCCCCATCGCAGCACCAGCGGGCAAGCTCCGGCAGCACAGTTCTCGCAGCGTGGGCACTGCCCGGCGGCTCCGGCACAGAGGCTCGGAGAAGACCAGGGGGGTTCCCCCCATCTCATCAAAGTGCAAGGGGTTGTTCCGGGTCCCTGCCACCACCAGCTCCAGCAGCCGGACCACGCAATCTGAAAACCAGTTCTTCAGGCGGAAATAGCCCTCCTGGAAAGAGATTCGGAGGCTGACGGGCCCCGTTGGCATCCGCACGCTCAGGCTGAACAAGCAGTTCCCCTGCGAGCTGTCCCGCACCAGGTAAGTGCCGACGGGCTCCCGCTGGAGCTTGGCATGAGCCTCCCCCACAGACAAGGGGCCCCAGTAGAAGTCGCTGGCCTGGAGGATATTGAGGGATCGCTCCAGGACCTCCCACTCACAGCTGCGAAACATCCGGAAACGATCGGGCAAGCTGGGGGGTGCAGGGCTGGGGAGAACCCTCCGATGCTGCCTTTGTGGACGAGAAACAGTGGCATGTGCGTTGTGCAGATCATCTGGCCTCCCTCTGATCATGTCTCAAAGAGCCCATGGATCCTGGAAAGATGCTGCCTTTACCATGCTTCCTCCTTTGCATCCAGCCTGCAGGACAGAAGGAGAGTGAGGCAAACCCAATACCTTCTTCTAACTGGACAAGTGAAGACAGTACCAAAGAGGTTACCGAGGAGTTACTGTATGTCCCTGACCCACAGCTGTAGGGACAACCAAGGAAATACATGCAGGAAGGGCTCCAGCTGGGTCCCCACCAGTGCAAAGTAGCACCTTACAGAGCTCTGCATCCATTGGGTTTCTGTGATTCACAGCTAGGGGCTCCCCAGCACACACTTCATCAGGCTGGTTTGAACCTAGCAGATCTCAGTATTTCAAGATTTCCCTCTGTTGGACGTTTAGGGGCTTTTCAGAGGGGCCTTGAGACTGGGGAGGGAACACAACACCTCAAATCAGAAGGGAAAAATTTCCCAAAGCAGGAAAGTATCATTTACTTTGTCATTCAGTGAAAGGTAGAAAGGTTTCCTCATGCCTCTCTGACTCTTCCTCCAACAAAAGGACACACAACTGGACTTAAAAGAAGCAAAAAATGGGAATGAGCCTTTCCCACCAAACCCCATGAACCACTCCTTCATCCCAGGACATCCCTTTTTCAGTGTTAGGAGAAAACAAAGGTCTCTGATCAAGACCCCTTCAAGAAATGTTACACCATCAACTTCGGGGCTTGGGACTGCCACAAATGAGACCACTTACACTGATACCAGATACTGCTGACATCTCAGGAACAGTTCTGCTCAGGCTCTTCTAGCCCCTTAACTTCTGTTTCTGCAAGAGGGACATCTCCCCCCACCAGCAGGTGATGCTGCCTCCTCCCCATCACCGTCCTCCGCTCATGTGCTGCCTTCGAAGTGGCCCACCTTACTTTCACAACCCTGCTCATCTCCTGTACCTCATGTTATCACCAGCCTGTCCGTTTTCCAAAATGCAGATTCCTGAACCCAGTGTGGCCATCAGCCACCCAAGTAATTTCAATTATATTACAAAAAAATACATATTCTTCGTGTGTGTGTATGTATATATAAGCACAAAAACCACAGCTGCAAGCCAGTGGTTCATTCTGTGGGAGAAGCTGAGCTGTTACATACCACTTCCCCAGGCCCGACAAGTCAGTAGCTTACCGTCAAACCCTGCCCTTGGTCCCTTGACATACTCCATTAACCCAGTCACACTTGCTGACAGCACAGCCATGCTCGGAGCAGAACAGACTGCTGACACACAGCCTGTAGCAGGGTAGAGATGAGCTCCTCCATCTGTGGCAGTACCCCCCACCACAGACTTGCAGGAGCACAGGGGCTCATAGCGGGCAGGCAGCCCACCAGGGAAGGTGCAGGGACCTGTGGAAGGCTTACTCTGGAGAGAGAACTTTAAGTTAGGCTTAGCTCCTTGTGAGGTTCCCCTTATCTAACACCCCTTGCCAGCTATTCGAAAGCCTCATGCTCCTTTCGGTGCTCATGCAGAGCCCACTCTTCACCCAGGGAGGACACGGAGCAGCAGGGTCAAATGTCTTTCCTTCACACAGGCACAGTAGTTTTGGAAAGGAGGCATCTGCCTGGCAACGCCTTGCCTACATCTCTCTCAATACTTAATAGTAATACCAATAATGCAGTTGTCAGGCAGGTTTCCATACATGGTACCAAAAACACCCCTTCCAAGAGCAGCTTGGGAACTTCTCTGTTTTATAGTCCAAAAGCCACTAACATCCCCAGTACCACTCTGAATACTGCCGGTCCTCCCTACGTATCACCACAGGAAGTAAATTCCGGTGGCAGGGGTAGGAAGGAGTTAATCTAGTTGGGTTTTTTCTTTTCCATGTGGAAAAAAAAAAAAAGGCAGCAGTTGAAAGCTGCTCAGATGGTTCAGCGAGTCAGAATAAATCTTGGGGGAAGTTGATTTAGTAAGCAGAATGCAAGTAAACAGAGTCACCATGTGCAGCGACTAGGGCCATCTATCACCACCAAAAACTCAACACTGTAGGCGCCAGAAGAAGTTGCAGCATCTGTGTCCCTTTACTTCTCCTGTCTACCGGGTAAGGAAGCTACAGAGTCCTCTGACATTAGCTGCTATAAAAAAGGAAGGTCATACACCCCCCAGATGCCTCCAGGGCTGCAGCTATAGCCTTGAGGGGAATGAGGACAAGCCTTGCTCCCACCAGCAGCCACTGTTCCCAGACAGCAACTTCTCTTGCGTTCAAACAGAAATTTTGACAATCTCCTGGGTCTAGGTTGGAAAATGAATTCAAGCAGGAAAACAGAAGCAGGCAGCTGTCTTTCATTTCCAGGATAGTTTTAAAAATAACAAATAGATAATTTGTTTAAGGCTGCAGATGCTACTTGACAGAAAAAAAAATAAACTCGTTTGTCCCAGTTTTCAACCTTGAGTCATCCTCACAAGTCCTTTAAGAAAAATCCACTGCTACTACAAGTCTGACTAAGAACTGAGACTGTGTCATTGTTTTGAATTCAAAGTAAATGCAAAAATAGCACCCTCACAATTTGTTCACTTGGTTTGAAATCTACATATGGGTCAGAGAGTCGGATGGCGTGAATTTGTTTAGCTTCAGTGACCCATTTCCAACAGATGACTGCCTGGCCTGCAACACAGTATTAGTTATACTAACATTACCTCTAAAAGTGCTTCCTGATATTACCTTTAGGGTTCATTTTTAATGGGTCAACAGGTCCTATGTGTGCATGGCCTCCCACATCAAGGAGGATGAACGGACCTTCAGGATTAAGCCAGACCAGGGGTGTTATGAAATACACATGCATAATTAGTTCTGCTTCTGATTTGCCACACCATTATTTGCTTTCCCTCCCACTCCTCAAAAAACAGCCCAAAAAACCCCAACGCCCAAACACATTACTACCTCCCTACTGCAAGACCGTCAGAACAGTGCTTGCAGCCAAAGCAACATACCCTAAAAAGCCAGCGTCCTGCTAATTAAAAGGCTGGATAAATTTCCCCAGACCTTCTGGGGATTTACTGCAAGTTCAAGAGCTTTTCAAAATAAGTGCTCTTGACACAGGGCATTCTGCTTTCCTCCTCACTCACTACCCGGGCAAAGCAGCGTATTTCATATAAGGAGACAACCGTAGTTAAAACTAGGGGACTGCACGCAGCCTCTGGTGTCAGCCAAGCCAGCCGTGCACCCCGGGGCTTGACAAATCTGGCATGTTCAACAGCAGCTTCAAGTACTCAGCTATGATGCATTCTTGCACTCTTCCTCCAGGACACTTGAAAGAGCTTACCTCTTTATATTTACCACCCATAGGGATGAGTTTCTGGATGTCAGGCCTGGAACTGGTCCAAATTCAAAAGCTCTGATGCGGCACTTCCCAGTTTTTGCAAAGCTTTACTTAAGAGCAGATCCATCCTTTGAAAAGAAAGAGACATCCATCAAACTGGTGACTAAGCCCATTAGTTCACTGTAATGTGGATCTAAAATACAACAAATCGGGGGACAGGTTGTCTGTCTCAACCTCTTTGACCTGTATTATTGTGGAAGTATGTATACGCACTTCAGATTGCAATAGACACAACAGATTAGCGTTGCTGTTATTATTATTATTGCTACTTTCAATGCCATGAGCTGATTAGGTCCAGACAGCTCACAGATAGCCTCAGGACATATGCAAACACCATAAAGTTGCCATCATCTTCTGGAAGTGGGAACCATAAAACCCAAACGTTAAGAGATTATGGCAACAGGAATAAGCAAACTCAAACTTGTACTCAATGCAATGCACAACATTTAGAGCACCTTAAACAGCGCAGATAGCCATTCACAGCTAAGTCATCCGAATAGCAACCCAGTCCATTCTGCCCTGCGCTCTTCCGCCCTGCTCCCCTGGCTCTTGAGGCTTTTCTTTCTCACCTCATGGTTGGAAAACAGCAGATCTGCTAGCAGATCCATCAGCAAGCTGAAAAAGTGAACCCAGCCTCCTGCATGCCTTCCAGAGGCAGCCTCTGTAAGGCTTCACGTATACCTAAGCTCCATTACTTAACATCATTTCTCTGCATCTCCCCCAAGCTGAGCCCAGACAGGGCACACACCCCACAAGCCAGGCTGACTCACAGCTAGCAGAACTGTGGGTCTGTCCCATTACTACACTACCTGCTCCATTTGGCTTCAGCATCTCCCAGTTATCAATCCTGCAGTTCCCAGAGCAGTTAGATGGAGGCTGGGATAATTTGGAAAAGCTCTCCCTACGGTACTCGGCAAGACCTTGCAGCACTATCCCCATTCCAGGCAGCAGAGCCTGAGCAGACGTCTCTTGCTTGCACATATGCATCCCACAGAAACGCGCTGACTACTGATTTGTGGCTAGAGAGGATGTTTCAAAGGAAAGCTCGAGCCAACATCTGGAAGAGAAACTTCCCCAGTAAGAGCCAAGCACACAGCGCTGTGTTTTA